GGACCCCCCGCCCCTCCCCCCTAGCGGCTAAGTATGAGACCTTCGATGGGCTTCGCACAACGATGCTGTACTGTACCTCATTATTCGGCCTGGCTCAGCTATCATAGCTGTTGGCACGGCACGCACATCACCACGCAGTGCCTCACAGATCATGGTGAAGACGCGGCAAGCATCCAGCTGATGATGAGTGGCGTTGCCTGTGAAAAGTGGCCAATATGCAAGCGGCTTTTCAGAGCTCAGCTTTCCCATACGAGGTGCTGCTGGTGACGTATCACCGAGCGCGAGTCGAGCCTTTTATTTCCTTTTTTTTCAGATCGACTACGACCATCATCCTTAGTTAAATTCAAAAGAGCACTAGTTCCCAGGGAAGCCCGCCAACTTACCATGGAACTTTGAAAAACGATCATAACGACCATATAGGGATTAGATTATTATTATCACGATCAATATTAGCATAGTGGAAATACCAAAAAGGGTGATAATGAAATTTGAAAGATAGGAATAAATAACTCAACTCACATTTGACAGTAAAACATATAAAATGGGTAATAGGCGAGCAAACCCCTGCGCGAAGTCGCGGAGAAAAAGAAGAGGAGTGGTCTAAAACCTTCAAGACAATGATTGTATGGACGGAATTATTCACTCCATAGCGTTGTCCTGATAGGAGAGCCTTTCCTGATCCTCATTTGAGCGCTAAGGGCTCATTACCAAAACGATGTGGCGGTTCATGTGACCTGCCCATACGATAGGTGTAGAACATGCCCTTGAATAGTATAAACACTAGGAGAGAAAAATGTCATATAGATAGACGTGTGTCAGCCATGTTATGGCGATTTCTTAGGTGAAAGGGACGTTGTGAATAACGCACCAGGACCGATGTGAAGGAACATCTGGGTTACTATCAGACAGTGATCCAGAGCCGCTATTTTTGAGTGCTCTAGAGTAATAATCTGTAATCTCAATGCTTATCCACGAACCAACCAGTTTTTTGTTGCCGCTTAATGAGGAGGAAGTGTAGCGTGATAGTACTCACATCGACTATTTGCCAGTATTTGGGACTAAAGTCATTCGACACTAATGTTTCACATCCGAAGCACTAACCGCACTCATCAAACGTGATTGTGGTTAATACTTCGGATCAAACAAGGAAGACCAAGATAGGCATGTAAGCTCTCTGCATTCAGCTACCATTGACGGTGACACGGCATGCGCATCACCAAACACTACATTACTGACCATGGTGATGACACGGCAAGCATTATAACCAAGCAAGCGATGCAGTGGGGCAGACCATAGTGGAGGGATAAGTGAGCAGCCTCTCAGCGCCCAGCTCGACAGGATGACTTTTTCTTGAATTCTTATGCTTGTGGAAGTTAAACTTTCGAGGGATGAGCGAGAAAAATATTGCCGTCTTCATATAATATTTCAAACTGAAAATTGGAATTTTCCAACTAGCTTTTGCTCTGCCAGAAATCTCCACTTACTGTGGAGATTGAAATCTTTTTGGATGAAATTTTGAGTGTGAGGACTGCTTGGGGCTTTGATCACGAATGCCACCTCGTACTTGTCCTCGGCGCAATATGGCTCCACTAGGTGCCATTTCGGTGGTTGCAGTCTTTTTGGCTCCGAGCCTGATATAAAGTTCTATACCTGGGTTACTTGACTTGCAGATGCTTTATTCCTTTGCAGTGTTGGCGCCATATGGCGCCAATGCGCTACTAGTTTTTCTGAAGATTCTATATAAGCCTCTATCCTTGGACTATTTAACATCTTCCTTACAAGAGTGTCCATCCTTTCTAGTGCTGAAGCCATGTGGCACCAGTGGGCGCGAACTTTAGTGAAATTCGATGTAAACCAGCGCACTGCGCATGTTTTGACAGTTTGATAAAGAGGTTCATTTTTGGCACTAGATCACGTAATGCACTCTAGTTGTTCACACTCTGCCAAGCCTCAGCCTGAGAAAAGAACTTTTAGCTTGGGGATCGGCCTAGCTCCGAATAGCGTCTATACCGGAAAATGTGAATGGCCATCTATGAATTGAAATGAATGTGAAAGAGCAAAAAGAAAAAACCACAGACACAGAAGTTATATTATGTAGAAAAATAAGGCCAGCGCTGAAAACTGGGCGTGATCGAGGGGCCTGGGCTTGAGGTGGTGCGTCGTGTGGCCACGGATGCTAGGAATAACACTCCGTGCAAACGTGCTTGATGGTATTGCAAAATTCGACAGAGCGGCAAAAACTTGGTTCACTAAGGACAGTGTGAGCCACCGGCGGCTCACATTCGAAAGAACGCCGTCGTCCCACATGAAACTGCCTACATTGTTGATTGTGGTGAAGTATCACCAAGCTTGGGTCGCGGAATCTGCGACGTCGGATCATATGGGACCAATTGGTAATGAGGGGCTCGTATGTGCAGGTATCAGTAATGAATACAGCAGGCAACGTTAGCCGAATCGCCTTGGCCTTTGTGCCTTGCCGGGGCGTCTCCGTCGGGTTAATTCAAGGGCAAATTGATTGATTACGAATGAAACTGCAACGTGGTTACAGCTACGTTCTCTGAACACACAAGGAAGCCATCAGTTGATTGAGAGAGTCTTCTGGTCTGTACAACTTCCACACCCCATACATCAATGTTTCTATAAATGTCAGTGCTGAAGTTACGACAACCTTCAAAGAGGTTTCCAGATGAATATGTACTGTAGCTGAGGGAAGCTCTCGGGCTAAAATCCGTGAGAGGCGAATTTGTGATATTGTGGACCTCAAACAAGAGTCTGATTAGGTGGAGCTCTCATAGTTTCCAAATCCTGTAACTCTTACTGCTAGTTTTGATGAACGAGCCTGAGTCATCGCCAACTCAAAACTCGCCTTTGCTAAAGTGCTGCCTTATTTTTCGTTGTCCGTGGTGGGCGAGTTTTCGCTTCAGCATTTTACGACGAAAGTGCAATGCTTATAAAGAGGAGAAAGTCCTCAAAATTTTCCAGATTTCAAATTCGTGTGGGCATTCGCTGCACGTTATGTCTGAGCAAAATTGGGCTCATTGGAAGGTCAGCAATTCTCTTTCACTAAAACCCGCACTGTTGTTGGACGGAAACCGCCACGTATGCTATGCTACCGTTCACGTGTGTTTTCAGGTGGACCCTTTCCAGCGATCCTATCGCTCGGAAAATTTTTTAACGGATGCAGTGAATCCATATTCGAGAAGGATGGCTCGAGCCTTCGGGACGCAGCAGAAGCAACACCTCAGCACGTCGACAGTAAACATGGGGAGGTCATACAGACACCCTCTTCTGGTAAGGACCAGCAGGGCAATTTCACGCGACGTGATCCCCGAGATGATTGCTTGTTAATTATGGCGATGACACGGCAAGCAGCAGAGCCGAAAGTATTGGGAACGGAACGGCATGACACGGCACAGCATCACCAGCAGTATCTCACCGATCATGGTGATGACACGGCAAGCATCAGGACCAAGCGACGCTGCGGCGTGGCAAATAAGGATAGTATAGGCGCGGAACCTTTCTAGCTCTCAAGTATAGGTTTACCACCATTGTTGGCCACACGACAGCCTACCACTTAGCTTTGCCAACCGTTATTGTAATGAGGGCAGTTTTTTAGCCGAAAGCATGTGAATTTTGTCCAAAATACGGAACACAATTGAGCAGCCTTTGTGACGATGAGCGTGTCTCTGTGACATAATCACGTCAAAGGTTTACGAATTAGCAGTACCTCATGACTGAGAAATTTGTGACGTGTGGTGCACAGCGGTGGAATGAGGTGAATTTATTTCGCAATTGGTGACAAAAATTGACGAGCGAGCTGACTCCAGGAAAGAGTTCTAACAATCTTGTTGGAAAATATTGCAGGGACTCGAAGCTGGAGAAAAGAAATGGAAAGAACAACTCGGGCCATTTCTCTGACAGCTTGCAGCCGTCCAACATGTTCTGAGTTGATTCTTCTTTGCTCCAGATGGCAGAACTGTCTGATGAGTTAAGACTTTAGTGGTTCTCACTCTATGAGTGGAGGGTTTGTTCGGCTTGAGGCCTAAAGTGTTTGAGTACCTTTCAGTGCGATCTCTCTCGCACTAGTACTCGGACCACAGACTGCAACCCCTTACTTGTTAGCTTTGACGTCGAGGGCTCCTCCAGTGCATCCCTAATCAAAATCCGCGATAGGTTCAGGGGTTCTTCATGGAGTTTCTATAAGTCACGAGAGGAACTGCCTCTTTAAGACTGAGCCATATTTTGAACCAATGTCGAAAACTAGCTGATCTGATTTAAACAAGCTAATTGACTGGGATTTAGTTTAATGTCAGCCTTTCATGGTTGACCACAAAGAACCAGTGGCGGAAATATTTCTTCTCCGTGAGAAAAGCAATTTTCCCATCGGGGCTGTCTTTCGGATAATACACAATTCCGGAGAGTGTGTCCATATTTGTGATGCTGACATTAGCTGCTTTCGGAAGCACTCCAGTAATAAAAACATCATCGATCTGAAAAAAAAGGAAATTGATGCATATCCCCATAAGAAAAATTTGGCGAGATAAATTGTTGGAAAGGGATACTAGGAACAGAAGAAAAGCTCCACAAATAATTACCCAGAAAAAGCGTTGGAGATGAACCACGCTCAGCATCCTGTTCACGACTGAAACAGGGACCAAGTAAAACCATCCGGGACAGTGCGGTGGATAGATTGTTTCATTCCACTCATCCTTCGTTACAGCCCTGAATAAGTAAAGGGATTCCAATGGCACCTTATGTTGTGGTTTTAGCAAATCGTGCCGCCTCTCACGTCATCCCCTCCCCTTTTCCTCTCATCGGATACCTCTAAATGTGACTTTAAATGACGTGAGGCCCATTCTTCTACAATTTTTTTTAACAAAGTGTTGAGCTTCTTCCTGATTCGGAAGTTTGCAGTGACTTGGAATGTCCGTCGAGTGTTCAGTTTTCTAAGCGCTGTGCAAGCCTCCAAGTCGAATATTTCCGATTCCCTGCAACGTTCATATGAGCGTGAGACTCACCATTTAATTTGCGAGTCTCGAATCGGAGTATGACCAACACGCCTGAAAGAGTTACATACAGTACGCTTTCTCACGTTCAGTGAAAATTAAGCTTTTTTTCGATAGTGCTTGAAATCTGCTCGGAGTCTTCATGTATGGCATATCCAATAGCACAAGCAACATTTTTAGTGCAAACAGAAGTAGAACAAAGTAAAATACGCATCTCTGAGCTACTGATTGTGTAGCCTGTTCAGATGAAGTTGGACGAATTTCCCACGATGACCCAGAAGCAATCCCTTCATTCGTAGGTGGGAAGGGTCAGTGATTGCGATGGTTGTGTTGCTTCCAAAGTTCGAGGTTTGGGACCACGGCTCCTGGTAACTATCCCCCTTCAAGAGCTCCGCTCATCGTAGCGAGCTACGCTTGTCGACCATTGCAATTTGTAGTGATAGGATTATTTGAAAGGATCTCTCTTAGCAGAAATGTCATTACCTGCAAAAAAGCAGGTGACACGGTTGTAAGAAACTGTAAAATGTTTTGTCGCCATATTAGGGCACTATATATGTACAGAGGCCAATAAAAAAGACATTTTTTTCCTCGACCTTCAAGGCGATGTCAGTCACCCATATTAAGTTCCTACTGACTATCACGGCACTCCGTCACAGCGTTCTGGACAAGCGCCATCGAGAGATTCTGCCACGCGACCGTGCCTGAGTTCAGCGAGGTCGTTGATTTCTCCGCCACTGTAGACCACCCTGTTGAACTCCACCAAACCCGGTAATTGAGGGGGTTTAGCTCAGGTGACACACTCGGATATTCCGTCCTTCCATTGAGTAAAGGAGGGTTTTTCTAACGCCCCTCGATTCCATGTGGTGGCACCCAATCCTGTAGCAGTACGAAGTTTCCAAGATGGTACGGGCGACGACATGAAGGCAGGATATTCTCCTCGAGTTGGTCGATGTAACCGTCAGTGACCAGTCCGGGGTCCACGAAGGAAATATCGATCTCCCCATTCCAGGAACTTCTAGACACCATCCACCAGCGCCTTAGCGACTGCGGTAGAGATGATATCCTTCTTAGACAGTAGCGACGTTGTTGGAGCTCCTCGATGTTAAAGGTCTCCCAGATCAGGAGTGCCGGTCATCAGCCAGTCAGAATGCGATTTTAGATGACTTCATATTTTGGTTTACGTGAACGTGATGGGCAAAAGCCTGCTCCTGCTTATCGCGTAACATCTTGGGTATCTTCCGCCCTGGTACTCGTATCCACGTCTTCTCTCTGGGCTGCGTCAAACTTTGCTGATATGTGACTCGGCCAAAGTGTTTTTTAATGCCCACCCCTGTCGTTGGTCGCACAGAAGAGACACCAACTCGCACAGAAGAGACACCAACAACTACATGTACTCTTCGCCTGGTTGGTGTCTTCCTTGCATCATGGTTGTCTTACTTCTTCAGTCTTTTGTTTGCGCCCTAACGCTTAGTTCGAAGGGCGAAAATAAAAAAGTAAATAAATAAGTAAATGTGGAAACCACATGGTATGGACAGAGTATTTGCAGATCATTATAGATGTTGAGTAGAAACTAGAGGTTATCAAAACCACTTACCGAGAACAGTGAATTTCGTCAGAGGTGAGGTTATTCTTCGTGAAATCGGAAACCCGTTGGAACATCCCATCCAACATCGTCGTCTATTTTGAGAAGCACCACGTTTCCATCGCAGGCCGAGGCCAGATACTGTAACTCGGCCAAGTGCTATAACACATTTGCTGAAAAGTTTGAGAATGCTCAGAATTTTTCATTCTTCTGAGAAACCGGCAAATTTTGCCAGTTCAACCATATTAAAAGTTTTTCACCCTAAGTGATTTGGATCGGACATGGAGCAATGACCTCTCACTGCTAGTCTCTTAATAATAAATCAGCCCTGCGATGGGTTCCTTCACGTCTTGGGCTAGTATTCAGTGGAAAATGGAATGCTGAGAGTAGGTGGATAACCTTCTACCACCTCACTCCAAAACTTTGCCCGCTTGTTTTACGAAAGAGTAATGAGTACAAAAGAAGTACCTTTAATGTTAGATTTCGATAAGTATCACTAAGGTCGAACTGCAGAATGTCATCGTACAGAGCGCTCTCTTCCTCGATAATCCTCTGATGATTCAGTGAACCTGGCCTACCCACAGAAAATAGAATAGTGTAGTTGTACTGAAAGTTTACTCATTTGAAGTACCTATCTCATACTCGAAAACGAGCGAAGTAATCACTTTGCTTCTCAATTGTCAGCGCCGTAGGTATTTCGCCAGCTAGTTCTCGATTGGGCATCATCTGCTCTCACATGGACAACCACAACAAAGTCAGTCTTCGCACAAACGGGTAACCTTCGGCACGATGCTACATTTGATCGGAGACAGTCGCTGAAACACATAGTAGTTGATGCGCATTCCACTTTAATAAGATGTAAAAATGAATATGTGGCTTTCAATAGACGGAAAAAGTCAAAGAAATCTCAGGAGACTATCTGAATAGACCCCTTTCTCGCTGTCGTTTTGAATGAAATACATATCTGATGAGCAGGTGGTGGTCAGAAAAAAGGCGCTTGAGTGAGAGACCAGACGACGGAATGCGAGATAGCACACGAACGAGCAGGACCGATTCTGCGGTACTTCGCTTGAGCGTCTTTCGTCTCAAGGGGCGTTGGTGGTGGGTGGTAGTGAAACACCTTGATGTCCTCGTCACCCACTTCTGTCGGAGCCTCTGAGACTACCAATTGGCTACCTCTCCAGCGCACGCAGCAGTTTCGGTCAACTAATTCTAAAATATTTATTTGAGATCATAGCTTTTTGAAACCAGTGTCTGGATTTTGCTGCAGTCGATATCCGCGGAGAGGTTTGGTCATACCCCACTGGTGTTTGGGTTGCTCGAACGTAATGAGTAAAACTCACTGAATCGACGAAAGGCTGTTTCATGTACAACCGCCATATCTGCACGTTTGTCTTTTCCACCGCTAGTTGTCGAGAATACCGCTCAGAATATTCGTCGTTGACTGTCCGCTTGAAGAGCTAAATGGTTACTGGCTCAAGTTTCACTCCCTGGAAGTAGCTTCGTTCAGCTTAAGCAGCAAACTGACCTGAGAATGCCCGAAAAGGGACGGTTTGAACAACCCATTGTCATTTTACAGTTGAACGCTTCGAATGGTAGCGCTTTTTAAAGGTGTGCTCTACACTCTACACCCGAAGACCGTAGTCTTCGCCATGTGGGAGATTAACGAGTACGCAGCTTTACCGTGGAGGATGTCACATTTTAGTCGATCAAGGGAGAGGGTATTATTTGGCTTGTTACATGGGACTGGCTCATGGTGAAAGTTGTCAGAGTTGCAGGGAATAGATATTTTAGTGGTTTCTTACCTATTCGTTTATGGTGCTTTGATGACTTCCTCTAATTTCAGCGAACTATTCTCTTTTCGGGAAATCGAGTGGGCGGGGCTGGATATTGAGGCTAGGGGTAACCATAGAGAGAGGTGTGGTACCATGCAACCATTCTCCTTTATCGACATTTCTCCAGCAGGAGAACCGTCTGTTCTTTGAACTCGAGCTATAAAACTAATCAAACCCGGGTTAGTTACTCACTTACATTGTAGATAAAGAATCCGTTTCCAAAGACGGCACAAAGTGCAGCAACCGTTACCAAAAAGATGAAGAACCGTCGTAGCCGTGATGACGGGAACACATGTCGAATAGTATCAGCCGCTCTTGAAATGCCCATGTGTCCTGCACATAGGAGTGTTCACAATTTGACGGCGATACTTTGCAGCACAAAAAGCTGTAAAACGTCTACTTGAGGTGGTACCGGGAAAATAACAATGTGTCGGAAGAGAGTGGGGGTACGTAGCGAGAAATGGGACGCTTACCACGATCTGAGGATTAAACCTTCAACTGTCCCCGCCCGAGCCAGTCAATCTTTTGCTCTCTGGAATGGTAAATCGGGACCAGATTCTCCTGTGAGGATAGGAGCTGAATTGTACATCGCCTGACCCCATAATTTTTCCGTCCTGCTCCCCATTCATTTCTTGGGAAGCAATGTCCCATCCGTGTTATGAATTCTGTGGCAGGCATACACAAACGAGCAGACGGACAGCCATACTTATTGGTTTAGATACAAATGATAATACCGCAATCAGTCGAGTCGCAGTCAGAAGTCTCCACCTGCGGCCTTCCCACCACTGTTTGTTTTCTTCTTTGAGACGGCTCAGCGCTCAAGTTATTCTTGGTCATCCTTTCTTGTGCAAGTCGTCCAGCCCTCAGCTAAGGGACCGTCAGTTTAGTTTTACCGCCCACTCGCTAGATGTCCTATCCACGTCTGATGCAGCGCTTCAGTTGTTCTTCGTTTGAGCGGCGGGCATAAATCGGAACTGCATTTCCATTTTTGTCGATCGCGTTCATGCCCTCAAGTAATACTGCTCTCTCTCTCTCTCTTATGACCCTTATTCGAGAACAATTGCCTAACTGACAAACCCATGCGTACGCATACCGTGAAACGTTGTTCAATATATCAGCCGCAGATAGACAAAATTTTGGTGCAAAAAGCTCCGCTGCGACTGAAAGCATGCAATTGCTAGCCGTGACTCCTGATTTGTACCAGGAGTTCTTGGAAGTTTTTTTGCTACAAGTTCTCTGCCGGTGTTTCTGTTGTTTTTCGTGTTCTCCTCTTTGCACTGGATGATATCAATTATCGCTCTCCGAGATGTGATAAGCAGATTGTGACAAGAGTGAGCGCCCTTTCGGAGAAACGGCCGCATAGCGTCGGTACTGGACCGTCACTTCGGTTTGAGCGATTTTGCTTCATGGCGTTGTCGTGAGATTCTTCGCCTGTGTTGTGGTATGAATTATCCTTATCAGCCCTCAATGATGCCATGACGTATGAGCAGCGCCAATAGTTTCCATTGACACTTGTGCACGAACGGTAATTTAGTTGTTAAATCTGCCGCGTCTCTACGCATCAACCTTGTAGCAGCGAGGCCACAGCCGAGGGCGGGGTCACCTGCGGAGTCGCTGAGTGCCAGGCTCCGACTGATATGCAAGCACTACGGTATTCGAGTGGGAGCGTCACCGCAGAACGGGCGGGCTTCCGGTATCACTACACGCTGGAGCGAAGCTCGTGTCTCGGGCTGACTTGAGCCGGGTCCGCATGGGGACGCGCCGCGAAATTCTTCGAGGAAACTATCATCATTGCCTGCGTTCATCTGACTCCTGCACTTCTGCGCTCATAACAGCACGCCGCCCACCTCAGCAACATGACCGGTCTACCCACTCTTTCTGCGCTCGCTCTGCCCCGGACTCTTACGATCTCGATATGCGACAGAACTGGCTGCATTTGTGCTCTTGTTCGCGATCAGCGATCCTGCCGCATTTTCACGGTATTTTGCATCGGTGTTTCGTTTCTGTTTCTACCTCCCTATTTGGAGCGGGGGGACCACGCGGCTCGCGGCGTGCGATGACTCATCAGCTCTTCTGTTCCCTCCTCGGCAAAATAGAAGAAATTCATGTTTAGGACATGGATGTAACACCGGCCTAGCTATTTAATACAGTAACGCTAAAAAGTCCGAAGAAACAGTTGTGGGCTGGAAGATTTTTGAATCAACTACCAAGTTGATGCTTGTTGACTCCTATTTGTTGTTTGCAGTTATATTATTGACGACAAAGGATCAGAATTTGTGTTTTCAGCTCCTCCGTAGGAGAATTCTTCAGCAGGTTTCCCGCGTCGTGATCTTTTTGTTTTATTTTTATCTTCTTATTTGTACGTGCGCATAGGATATCTTCACGCATCAAGTATGCACGTTGAAAGTGAACAACGAAGCCGATGACTCATCACTCTGGCCCGTCACCTGCCGCGCGCGCGTCACGTGGTCCCCGCCCCCACCTGGCGCAATTATCCTACGGGCACACATTGATTCTTCGACTCAATTCAGCTTCGTTTAAAGCCTGAGACTTCTTCGTACGTACTCTGACTTCGAATCGTGGCAGCAGATGAAGCTATTCGTGGGACTGGACATTATTCCAAATCTTTGCGATGGCACAGCTAGCATTGAAATAGCATGAGAATTTCCCCTAAAACTGTTCTTTCTTTCTGATCGGCCGCAATTTCAAGGAATTTAGGAAAAAGCGGGCGCCATGAAGGGCCGAGCTTCGAGCTCAGGATATCTAACACAGACACAGCTGTGACTTTTTCTTTTTATGGCGACTCTATTCCTCAACTCTTGAAATTCGCTATCTTCACCTTTGAAACTTGAGGTCGAAAACCAGAAAAGTTTCAGCTTTTACAAGCTGAATATAGCAAAAATACACTGCGAAGCATAATCATAGTTCCACCCATGAATCTCACAGCCCTGTCTTACACGAAATTTTCCAAAGTGCCCCCATACAAGAATGTGGTTATTACAAATACCAATTCACACGCCAACAACAAACACTAAACTTAAAGAAACAGTTTCTTTTTTCGTGCAATTTGTTTTCAAAAAGATGCGTCGGTTCTGGACAACGCCAGCAAGTGATAAGTTCCACCAAACAAATCAATATCTCGCGATCAATAGAATCTGTTGATAAAGTGAATAAATTTCGATTCAGTAATTCATGAGTTTTGGAACTCGTAGGTTTTCTCGCAGTAAGTAGCGGAAATACGGTTGCACCTATTG